TCAGCGCAGGCGCGCCAGGAAAGGCGCGCGCTGGCAGCGCCGCGCCGCCCAGCACGACGCCGGCCAGGTTGGACCGCACTGCGCTGCCGAAGTCCAGCGCGGCCTGCGGCACCTTGTGGAGCTCGGCCAGAGCGCGGGCCTCCTTGCCGCAGCGCTTCATCGCGGCGTCGCTGCGCCACGCGCCTCGCGCCTTGACCTCCAGCGGGCTCCGACGCTTGGCCGGCAGGCCGCGGGGGCGCCGCCGCGCCGAAGGCCGCGCGCAGTGATGCCCATAGCGTTCACGCCAACCGCCTCGGCAGCCCCCTGGACCCTTATCGCCACGTTCCCAGGCTCGACGCTCCAGATTCGCTGGTCTGGCGAGCGGCGCCTCTCCTTCAGCTTCATCAAGCAAGGGCGCAGGAAGTCCAGGTCGCCCAGCACCACGCTGTCGCCCCAGGCACCGACCTTGGCGGGCTTCTCCAGCTCCAGGGGGCCCAGGACGAGGCCCCAGTAAAGGGCATGGGGGCCCGCTGCAGCCACAGGCGGCACCAGCTGGAGCGCGGCCAGCGAATCGCACTCGCCGGGCCGCAGGTACGCGTGGAATGAAAGCAGGACGGCCACCGCCTGCTCGATCAGGCGGCGCGATAGCAGGTGGCCCACGACGGCGAGCTATGGTCGGCGGCACCGGGTGCGCCGCGCTGCCGCTGCTGCCGCGGATGGCGCCGCCAGCCCGACCAGCCAGCCCCCCTGGGGCGCCACCAGGGTTCGCATCTGGTAAGGGGTCGACCGAGCCAAGGGCTGGGAACCTCGGGACAGCTGGAAGAGGCACAGCAGGTTCATGATCAATCAGCATCGCCGTGCTCGATGGCCTCGCCAAGCTCCTGCTGCCGCTCGATGTAGGACAGGTCTCGGGGCGGATTGCCCGCTGGATTCCTTTCGGACGGGGCCCGGCGAACATGCGCGGAGACGACACCAGAGAGTTAAGGCAGCCATCTCACGAATGACATCCCGAAGCTGGAGAGCCGCCGAGCGGCCCTCGCCCACCGCCAACGCGAGCCCCACGTTGTCGACCAGGGCGAGAACTCGATGCCCAAAAGCCCGACGACCCCGAAGCGCGCGACGCAGAGCACTCGAACGAGCGAGCCCCTCAAGACGCAGGATGCCCCCTGGGCCCCGCCATGGAAAGGACTCCACGATGCGCCAGGCCTCGCGGGCAGTGAAGCTCGCTTCGATCATGTCGCGCGACTTCTTGAACTCGTCGGCCCGTCGCTGGCTGACGGGAAGGTCCTCCGCGCAGGCCGCCGCGGCAACGTCGGCGGCATAGGCGTGGCCCCTGGAAGCCGCGGCGCCCTGCGCGCAGCGCCACTTCTCCGCTGCGCGGCCCCACCGAGCGACCGGCCCAGGGCCCGCCTGACGAACGCACGCGCCACAGCCCCACGGCGCGGCGTCACTGGCCGCCACCGTCGGCAGCCACTCGGCGCCCGCGCGGGCCACGAACAGCGGGAGCAGGTCCCTGACCAGCCTCGGCTCCTCGGCCACCGCGCCCCAGAGCAGCGCGACCTCCTGCTCGTGCATCTTCACAGAGGCGCACACCGAGCTGAAGATGGACAGGGTCGACCGCCGCAGCAGCATCAACCACGCGGCGTGGCCCAGCACCACCTCGAGGGACTCCGCCTGAGCAACGCCCGCGCTTCAAGAGCTCCTCAATCGCCAGCCGGAGGCGCCACGTGCGACGAGCCGAGACCCGCACGGCACGAGCGCAGCCGCCAATGGAGAGCCCCACGAAGTCAGCGCAGTCGACCGCCTCGGAGGTGCCCTCGCGCACGGCGAAGCCCTGGCCCTCCAGGCTGGAGATGACCCGCCGCCCCGCGGTGGCGACGCGCTCCTTCGGGGCGCCGTGGACCATGGAGTTGTCGACGTAGCCAGCAGCGCCCAGAAGCCACTTCGGCCCAAGCGGGCGCGATGCCGCGCGGCCCTCCACCAAGGCGCCCGCGCCGAGCCCGCCGCGCGCGAGGCCCTCCTCTATAACCAGCTGGCAGAGGCGCAGTACCCAGCTCCAACCCATCGGCGCGGCCGCAGGCCGCACCCCGTCTACCAGCGGCCGCCCGACCAGCCCAGCGCGAACGGGCGGCTGGCGGAAGCGGGACCCGAGCTCGCGCGGCACGGAGATGGCGTAGAAAGCGTTCTGCGCATCGCCCACAGAGCACCAGACCACGTCGCACTCGCTGGTCTCCATCCTCGAGAAGGCCGAGGCGGATGGCAAGTGCATGGACGGCGGCGGCTCGAAATCGCAGATGGCGAGCCGCGTCGAAGATGATCCGCTGCTGGCCCGACTGTTTCTTGACAGCGAAACGACCGACGGCGGCCTCGGCCTGCGCGGGCGCGAGGCGGACCATTCCGCGCCCCAGCACCCCCTGGGCGAAATCGGCAGAGACGCGCTGGCGGCGGAAGGCAGGGCCCACATAAGGATGATGGAGACCGAGCTCAGACCGAGGGGCCGCCGCTGCAGCCGGAGGTCGTCGCATCTTGGCCGCCAAGTCTCTCGGCCAGGAGGCGCGCTCGACCGAGAGAGCGCTAGCCCAGTCAACCGGAGCGGCCCCCACTGCCGGCCAGGACACAAGGCCCTTGCTGTAGGACGCGACGGCGGTGGAAGTCTCGCCGCACATCACGGCGGAGCCGCAGAGCTCACGGAGGCCCCCGCGGGGGTGAACGTCGGCCAGGCGGGCCCCAGCGGCGAAGTAGCTGCGCCCCAGATGCTCGAGGCATGACTGCTGCACAACGAAGGCGGCCCGACCGAAACATCACCGCGACCAGAGAGGAAGTTAAGAGAGTTGATGCCGTCGCTCGCCCATTCGAGAGCGCAAAGACGTCGGAGAGCACGGCGTTCGACTGCTCGAGAGCGGCCACCTCCACGCTGGGGAAGTTGAAGAAGAGGGAGCGGGAGCACGTCGCGCTGGCGACTCACCCCGCAGCAGCCGTCAAGAAAAAAGCCTGCCAGCCCGGGGCCCAGGAGCGGCAGGCAACCGAGACCGCGGAGGAGCGGCCGAAGGCTACTCGCCCTCCTTGCCGCCCTTGACCCCTTTCTTGGGTCGCGCCAGCGCGCGTTCCTCTCTCGCCCTCCTCCGCCCCTTCGCGACGGCGCTCTCGCGGGCGATCTGCTCGCTGATCCAAGTGCTGAGCTCGGGCGCCACCATGAGGCCTCGGGCTGTGGCCATGCCAGTGAAGTAGCAGTGGTCGCCCCGATGGCTCTCGTCGCCCGCCTTGGTGCCAAGGATCTTGTCACGGTAGCGCTCCTCGCACAACTGCAACTGGCGGGCCGCAAGTTCAAGAGCCCCGAGGTTGCAGATATCCAGCTGATCGTAACAGAACGCTGTCTCGAAGATCCGGCTGAACTCCAAGTGCGCGGACATCGTAATGTCCACACATTCTCCAGCATGAATACTGAACGCGATGACCGAGAGCGCCGCCACCATTCTCCAGCACGAAGCGAGCACCCAAGCCACCGCGCGAGGGCCTGGCACGGGCCAGTCGGCCCACTGAGCGGGCGAGAGGATGGCCACGGCGTCGGCGAAAGACCTGCGGCGCTGGCCGTTCGCGTCGTAGAGAACGGCCAGCGCCCTGCAGTCGGCCCCGTCCGACGCGACTCCAGCAACCAGCCCCCGAGCGACGCCGCCTCCGTCGGCTCCAGCGAGCGCCGCCGCAAGTCCCGCGCGCCCAGGGCCAGGACTGCGGGCTGAGCGGCCGCTGCGGCTGCGCCGCCGTCCGCCGGGGCCGCCGCCGCGGGACCCGCGGCCGCCAAGGCTGCGCCGGCCACAGCGCCGCCGGCCGCGGCGGGAGCCGCGCCGGCAGGCACAACGGCGCCGGCGCCGCCGACAGCTGCTCCGCCACCGCTTCCAAGAAAAGCCGCCAGGCCCCTGCCAGGTGCTCCGACCACTCCGAAGACCTCCGCCTCCACCCCCTCCCGGTGCAGCGGGCGCCGCTGCGGCTGCGGCTCCCGCGGCCAGCTGGGCGTCGTGGTCGGCAATAAGGCGGTCGGCCTCCTGCGCGAAGCCGAAGAACTCCTGGGCCGTGAGGGCGGGCTGGAAGTCGTAGGTCGTTTGGCCCGCCGCAGCGGGAGGAATGACCCCTCCTGGTCCGCACCGATGACACGATGCGATGTCCGAGTTGTCGGCGGCGAAGTGCTCCACGAACAGGTCATGGTCGGGCGAGACCACCACCGCGTGGAGCGGCTGGACGGCACTGACACGCACCACAACCCGACGGTGAAGCGACACAGGGCCAGGAACAGCGTACGCCACCAGCACCTCATCGCCGATGTTCATCAGGTGTCAGCACACGACCACGGCCTCGAGGCACACGACGATCGAGAGCGTCCTCCAGCGCAGGTGGCACTGCCTCAACAATACGAGGCTCCCACACCGAGCTCCAGAGGCCGCTGGTCGCGCGGCGCGCCAGGCCGCAGGCCGCGGCCCCACAAGTGGTGAAGACCTCCCAAACCAGCAGCGCGAGCAGCCCAAAGCCGAGCTCGCTGCCCCAAACCCTTCGCCCCGCCTCCGGCTCGGGGCAAGCCGGGCAGGGATCTGGGCAAAAGTCCAGGCTGGGCGGGGCCGGCGCGGGCGCGCACCGAGCCAGGGCCGCGCAGAGGTCCCCGACCTGCGCGACGGGCGGCGGCGCGGCCGCCGGGCAGCCTCGCTCACGCGAGGCCAGGGCGGGCGCCGGCCGCGGCGCCTCGGCAGCCGCCGGCGGCGGCGGTGGGCGGGACCCGCCCAGCAGGCGCCCCAGCCAGAAAACGCTGGCGTGGAACGCGACCAGCGTCACGCCGCGGGCCACCGGGCACATGCGCGGACCCGCGCGCAGGCCGCCTGAGGCCTCCACAGAAAAGGCTTGAGCCATAGCGGTTGCAAAGGTGGCTGCTCGCAACCGCACGGCCCTCCCACGTTCTACGATTAAAGTTCCAAAATCACCCATCGCCATTTCCCTCATCCCCCCTCCCTCCCTCCCTCCCTTCCCCAGGTCCGCTGCCTCCATGGACACGTCGCCATCGGGACCTGCGTCCTCGTCCTGCAGGCGGGGCCCAATCACCCCAGGCCTTGAAGACGACGAGGAGAACGAGAGCAGGGACGCGGGACGAGGAGGAGCACGAAAAGAGAGGAAGGGCAGGAGTTCCTCCCTCCTCCCTCCTCCTTCCTCCCTCCTCTGGGAGAAGCAGGGGGCGGAGGATAGGAAGAGGACCGATGACGAAGAAGCGATGGATACGCCATGGTAGATGAGGAGAACCATGGCACAACAGCTGTCTAAGTTGCACGACGACGGAACGTTGGATCACGGATACCAAATGCCCCCGACTTCTGGACGGCGAATGGGAACACCTGAATCGTTTCGCATATTTCCACTCTTTCCCGTTCCGAGACCCTGCAGGCCACTAGCCGAGGCCAGCAATGCATACTCGAACACCCGCGACAAGCATGAGCGGTTTCACTGTGAATAAAACCATACACGCGCTTCGTGCCCGCCTGAAAAGCGGTCGCGCGCTTCACGCAAATTCGCCTCATTCCCCATCACTTCTCACCAAATTCCGCCCCGTTCTCCCCCTTCGCATTCACTCTCCATTCCCCATTGCTAGACCTCATCTCAGTCCTCCCCCTGCCCTCCCCGCTCCTCCCCTCCATTCCTTTTCCTTACCGGTAACTCCTCCCTGTTGCACCCCAAGGCCAGTCGAAAGGGCGGGCTGGGCGTTTCGTCTGAGACTTCCTGACCCTTGTCTGACCCTGATGCTTAAAATTGACAACAAACTCACACATGGAGGGCGGGTGGTTTGCAAGATGTGGCTCTCACCTCAGCACCGCGCAAAATCGGTGTAAAATTTGGCCAACAGTTGCACGAATTGCGCCGCGTCGCTCGCCCCGCGCGCGCGTTTCCCCTGCACACCGTGCCTCGCGAGGCGCCGGTCTCCAGCGTTCTCGACCGCTTGTAGAAGGCAGAAAATCCACCCCGATAATAACCACCCCGACACGCGAAACTGTTTACTAAAAGCCCCCACTGAAGGAACCGAACAGGGCAGGGCTGTTTAGTAAACGCCCAAGGCCGTTTGGTAAACGCCAATTGTCCGGTCCGGGTGGTTTTCCCTCCCTTGAGCTTGGTTGCGCCGGTCGCGCTGCCTGTGGCTCGCGAACCCCGGGCGGCGCTCGCTGAGGCCGCCGCGCGCCTCCTCGGTTTGGCAGACGTGGCCCACTGGCGGGAGGCAAAAAGGCGATCGCGGCATGCTGCAACCAGGCGCGCCGTCGCTCCCAAGCGCGAGAAGCAGCCTCCAGTGCCGGGAGGCCTACTGCGTCACGGCGCTGCACTAGTCGCACATGCAGCTCCCGCCAGTAATAGCGTGGACCTGATGGCCCATGGCGCCCTCTTTCGCTGCGGGGAGACGCACACGAACTATTGCGGTTATACCAAACTCGGGTGCCTCCTGGAAGGGGTCTACGTCACCGTGCTCGACTGCCCTGAGGTGAGGCGCGCGCGCGCGCCGCCGTGCGGGCGCTGGCCGAATGGACCCCGCGCCCGCGCTTATTCATCAGGAAGAGCGCGGTCGCCGCGCTGGTCGGATGGAGCGCGCGGCGCTCCGAGCGGAGCCGCGCCTCGATGCTCTTCCACGCCAGCATGCATCTGTTGAGGGTCCCTAGCGAGGCGTTGCCCGCCCCGCGCGTGTCCGACGTCGGCGACGCGCCGCCCTTCCACGCGGAGCTCGTGCATGGTGAAGCTGATCTTCACACGACTGCTGCTGAAGTGGCGTCAGAAGCGGGCCCAGGGCAGTCGCCTGTGGCGGAGCTGCTGGTGCGCATTGCGCCGCGAAACGTGCCCCGTGCACGCCCTGGGCCCCTCGGTGGCACGACGCGGGCTGGGCCTCGAGCTCTTCGGCAGCATCTCCGCGGCCGCTGCGCTGCGGACCATGCGCGAGATGCTCGCCGCCCTGGGCGCCCAGGGAGCGCGCCTGTTTCGGTTGCATGACCTCCGCAGGGGCCACGCCGAGGACCTGCAAGGCCTTCGCGATATACACACATGTGGAGATCGGCGCGTCGAAACATTATCACACGATTGAACGGACGACACCAAGACAAGCACGTATGCGTTGTTTCGCTGGGCTCGACCACATGCTGCTCACCATAAGCTGTTGCACGCTGGATGTGCAAGCTGCGTGTTGCAGGCTGCTGGCGAAGCCCGTGTGGTGCGAGTCAGGTGATGCAAGTTGTGTGGTGCAGTCTGTGTGGTGCAAGTTGGGTGGTGCAGAATGCGCGCCGGCGCGCTGCAGCCTGTGCGGTGCCCCCACGGCACCCCACCCAGCGCTCGAGCCGCCCACGAGGACCCGCGAGGCGCCCACAGGCGGCCACCGCGCGGAAACCCGAAGAGCCCTCCCGGCGCACGAGGCGCCCAGGAGGCGCCCGCGGTCGGCCACGGGCTGCCATTGCAAGGGAACCCGGGGAGCTCGTGCGCGGGCACCGTGTGGGAAATCGGCGCGGGGGCGTGCCGCCACATCCATCCCCATCCCTACTCGTACAAACTCTGACGAATGCACGTTCACGCTTCGCTCAACCCCTGCCTGTACGGCTGCAGCCACCTGTGCCTTCTCCGAATCTTGTTCACGTATCCCCCGACGCACTTTGCAGCGGTTTACGCGCGCTGGGCCCTTTGTTTGTCTGTTCATCTGTCGGCACTTCAAAGATGGAGTCCTGAGACATGGGGCCCCAGGGCGAGGAAACCTCGCGCAAATAAACTCCAGCCTGGAAGCCCTTTCCTGTCCTTCGGGCACCGTCCCTCGGGTCCCGATCTTCGAACCACCGACTCTGTCCCAGCTCTTGCGAGTCGAGCATTCGAGCCCCCGGCCCAGCGCATCGAGCCCAACATTCGCCCACCCCTAACTCCCAGTCTCTGCACCCCCATGGACTTGCACACGACAGCCGGGTGCTGCCACGGGTGTCCCCGGCCCAGGGTGCCCCCGCGGACTTGCAAGAAGGCGCTACCAACGGCCTCCAGATCTGGCCTACTCCTTCTCCTCCTCCTCCTCCTCCCCCTCCCCCTCCTCCTCCTCCTCCTCCTCCTCCTCCTCCTCCTCCTCCTCCTCCTCCTCCTCCTCGTCCCCCTGGCGGGCTCCCGACCGGCGCGCCAAGCTGGGGGCACCCTGGGCCGGGGACACCCTGGGCAGCTCCCGAGGCAGGGGCGCCCCGACGGAGACGGCGTCCGGCGGCAGCGGCGCCGGGCGCCCCCGGTCCTCGTCCTCGTCCGACTCCTCTTGGGGGGGCCAAAAATAATCGGCACTTAGGGGACCCCTTACAGTCAACCAGTATAGCAAGGATGCGCGATAAGGATGCAAGGGCCTTGGACGCTCATTTCGAGGCTTTTCGAGCGGGGCGCGGCCAGCGACAGCGGCCAAGGATGGGCCGAAGGGGCAAGGATGCAAGGGTACCCTTGGGAAGGTTGTTACTGTGCTGGTTGACTGTACTCTGTCGGACCTGACCTGAGTTGAGAGGCCTGAGACAGTAGGGACGGGGGTCTTCAGCAGATGCATCAAACCAAGCCACGCAGATGCATGATCCACTCTAGGTTGGGGACCAAATTGGGGCTACGTCTTCTTTGTGTGATTTGAGCTAGGGGCTCCTATATTCTCGATTAGATAGATACTGGTACCGCTGCTCCCTGGACATCTCCTAGTTCAGAGGCAACTCCTGCGAGGTCTGCGTGGGAACGATCAAGAGACATTACACCAAAACTACAGGGTAATTGAGCCGAAGCCCGGACTTCGCAGATACTGAGCGGGATCACGCGAAATTAAACAGGATCAAGCAGGATCAAACCAAGCCAAGCCGGTTTCCTACCACAGATACACTAGCGCCGATGCTGAAGTCAAGCTCTCAATAGTTGCAGCATGATCCCAAATGGTGCATTCTGGCCAGAACTCCGCGGCGAATCCAGCCGTGTCGGCGAGCCCGCACCCCTCCCTGGGAGGCACACCAGGGGGAGAGCGAGGGAGGGGAAACGGCACCTGTGTACGAAGGATTCGTGTCGCGACGGCCCCGGCACCAGTGTCGGACACCGCGTGGATCGTTCAACCTTGAACGATCGGGGCTCTCCGGAAGCATAGATCGATCAATGCTGGACGAGTGACCGCTGGCGGCGTTCAACTTTGAACGCCCGCGCTGCGGTCATCGCTGAGTCGGCGCGGAACCAACCTACCGTGCCTGTGCATATTTCCCTCCATTAGCTCCTCAGCGTCCTCCATGGCGTCGTCGTTCGGGCCCGGTGCCCACACCTTGGCGGTGGGCGTGCCAGCGGGCAAGGGCAGAGGCGGCGGCGGCGGTGCAAAGACATGGTCGCAACAGCTGCACATTGAGATGCCGTGACCACGGCAGCCGTCACGGAAGCGCAGTCTAAAAAAACGTTAGGCCAGAGGAGGAGGAGGAGGAGGAGGAGGAGGAGGAAAAGGGGGAGGAGCAGGAGGAGGAGTAGGAGGAGGAGGAGGAGAAGGAGGAGGAGGAGGAGGAGGAGGAGGAGGAGGAGGAGGAGGAGAGAGGAGGGAGGAGGAGCAGGAGAAGAGGACGACGACGACGACGACGACGACGACGACGACGACGACGACGACGACGACGACGACGACGACGACGACGACGACGGCACGACGACGACGACGACGACGACGACGACGACGACGACGACGACGACGACGACGATCGATGATCCTCCGAAAGTGCTGTGGTCGAACCACGGCCACGCGGCCCCTGCGCCGAGGGCCCAAGGTCCCGTGGGGAGGACAGCAACATCTGGCAGTGCCCGACCTCTGGGAGCCCTCGTCCTGCCCTGGGGCTATCAGACAGAATATAACCGTCAGTCGGAAGAAGGAGGAGGAGGAAGAGGAGCAGGAGGAGCGGGAGGAGGAGAGGGAGGGGGAGGGAGACGAGGAGGAGGAGGAGGAGGAGAAGGAGGAGGCGGAGGAGGAGGAGGAGAAGCAGGAGAAGGAGGAGGAGGAGGAGTGGGAGAAGGGTAGAAGCATGAAGTAGGAAGGCGTTGGAGGTAGACTGGGTCTCCGCCCACCCTCTGCAGAGGAGGGAATGAGGGGCGCCCGTTCGACTCTCGAGGTGGGAAGGCGCCTGAAGGAGGTCGAGATTTGGGTATCCGAGCATACCTACTTTCAACGCCTGGCGTGCAATCCTATCGAAAAAAAACCAGACAACCCCCCACGACAATAACGATGAATGGCCCAATGACGATAATAACTATCAAACAATTCCACAGACAACCCCAAAAATTCCACGAGGACAACCCGGACGACCCATAACGATGAATGACGACAAAACGACCTGCCCCGGGCGACCCCTTGGTCAACCCAGCGGGGATCCAGACAGCCCCAACCACCCATGGACAAGCCCCCCCGGGATGTCTCTTCGATCCCCGGGATGTTTCTTCGTTAAGATATGATAAGACTCCAGATACGAAGCTGGTCCACGGAGAGAGGTCCAAAACTGCGGGGGTCCAAGTTGATAGTGAGAAGCTCAAATGTCGGAGAGGGCTGGGGAGGAAGGTAAGAGGAAGAGGAGGGCACGGGAGAGGAGCCGGGCAGGAGGAACAGGAAAGGAGTGACGAGGGAAGAGGGAGGGAGCAGGGAGGAAAGAGGGAGAAAGCGGGCGGAGATTAGATGAAGAGAGAGGAGGGCGAGGAGGAAGCGGGCGATGAGGAGGGAGGCCGAAACGAAAGAGGAGCATGAAGAGGAGAAGCGGCAGGAAAAATGGTGGCAGGGTGGAAGAAGCGTGCTGTGGCTAAAATACGCTCGTGGATGTGGATGCGCACGCAGACACCTCGTATGCGACAACCACGAAACTGCGATCGTGGGCGTACAACAGATCGTCAGCCGGGCAGCACGTACCTCAAAAACTTGAGCGCGAACGCGAGGCGACACGCACACACACACACACACACACACACACACACACACACACACACACACACACACACAATTCTCAGGCATGTCACTGCGATCGCACAGACAGGTATGCAGAGAGAGACGGAGAAGCAACATCCAGAGGCCGTCCACGGCAACGCTGCACCCGAGAATCAACCGAACAGACAGCGAAAGAGACCGACCGAAGCCGAACCGAGCGAACGCAGCTGAGAAGGCGGACCGAACCACGGACATCCTTAATAGGGAAACGAACTCTATACACCGACGCTCTTTCCGACCCTGCGCCGAAATTCGCACAGAAACGAGGATCCTGGTGTATACGTGATCCTGGTGTATACATGTTTCGTTGTTCCCCTTGGAAAACGAAGGAAAATTATACACCACACCACCCCGACGTCGTCCCCGACCCTCAAAAAAGTCCTGGGATTGAAGAACCGCCCGCCACTGGTAACGTATATGCTCCAGTTCCCGACTTGGCTATCCACTGCAAGTGCGAGCACTCGGGTCGTGGAGAGAGGCCAATGGCAGAGAGCCGAGGCGGGAGCTCGTCGCACCTTCCCCATGGCCCCTGCTGCCCCAATGGTGAACTGGGGGACGTTCGCATCATCCTCGACGGCAAGGAACAGATAGCACGCTCAACCATCAGAGGGAAGCGGGGAGAGTGGATGTTGAAAGCAGGTAGGAGTAGAGAAGCAACTGGGGGAAGGGGAAGGAAAAGCTTCATTGTGGCTGGAAAACATAAGTTGCACGCTGCACATGCGTGTCCGCCCCCGCGCGTGGAACAGCGCTCGCTGGCCTCAGCGAAGCAGGGGGAGCAACGAAGGGTGAGGGCATGGAGGAGGGCCCTGACCCAAAATCGGCCCCGGGCAGTCCGAAGAACACCATATCTCCGTCAGGCCCCGACTCCGCACAGACCCTCAGAAAACACCAAACCGACCCGCAGAAAGCATCGCGCTCGCATCCCCCAACAAAAAAGAAACTAGAAACACCGACAGGGCATTCACCTGCAGATGCTTCGCCGCATGCGGTGGCGGATGTACGCGGACACGCAATTAGACAACACGCACACGCGTGCGAAGCAAAGAACTATAGCGTCACCCTCGGAGATGGAATAGAGGGCCGTGGGGCGCAGGAAGGGGTACAAAAACACACCTGCGGGCCAGTCTTCCACTGCTTCCGGCACGTCTTCAGCCCGTCTTGTGGCCACCTCTGGCTTGCAAGGCGAGAACCAGAATGAGCGGGCGGTGAATAGACGAGCGCGTTCCACTACTCGCAAAGTGACTACTCGCAAATGGCCTGGATCCCCCGCGGAGGATCTACGATAAATTACATCGAAGCAGACATGTGCTTTTCGGACGTTTGCGAGTAGGCACTTTGCGAGTAGTTGAACGCGCTCGGTGAGCAGTGAACGCGAAGCGTCTTGTATCCGCCCGCCCACCAGTTTGAAGGGCGCACGGCGGGTTCGTGGAATGCCGGCCCTGGCGTTGATTCCTGACACCGCGCGGATCGGTCAACCCTGAACGATCGTGGCTTAATAGCGCAGACCGTTCGACATCGGCCGACTCCAGGCCGCCAGCGGCGTTCAACCTTGCCCCCGCGCTGGGGTGCCCGCCGCGTCGACACGACACAAACCTGCCGCACTTCGAGAGCTTCTTTCGGAGCTTTGGCCCTCCTTCCCCCCCTGCCACCCCGCTGGCTCCGCGGCTTCTGTCACCTCGGCTGCCTTTACTGGGACCCCACGGACAGCCCCAAGACGGAGCTCAAGACGAGCTCCACTTTCACATCGTTCCCAGCTCGCCTTGGGGAAAGAGCCGTGCTCCACGTTGGCACATCTTGGGCCCTGTCTTGGCCTCCAAGATCGGTTCTTTCGAATCTAAGCAGGCATCTTACGCCAAACCTCACTGGAAACGTCAAGGCATAGCAAAGTGGGCGGTCGATGAATTCTGCTTGGCTGGTGGAGCCAGGCGAATGGTTTAGCCGCTCTTCGGGCTCGCCTGCGGCACCTTCCCGCAAGCCAGCTTCTACGCCGCCTTGGACACGCTCTGGGCTCCATTTCTGGGCGAAATAGGGGCTCAATTGGGACCCCAGAACGAAGCCCCATACGGCCCTGACCCGGGCATGGACCGGATGATGCGCAGACGGCGTTCAGGCCCTGAACGGGGGTGCCCACGCCAGTGCCATCTTGGATCCGCTGCGGGCCAGCGTGGGCCAGCCACGCCCGCCCAAGGCGACAACACAATCAGAACCAACCGAACAGACAGCGAAATCGAAACCGACCGAAAACCGACAGGCCTCAAGCAAAAGGGCGCAGCGACGCAGCAACGACACGACAACCGACCGAACCAAACAGGCCGAACGCAACCGACTGGAACACAGCCGAACCGACCGACCCGCGGACACCCTCGAGGGTATGTTGTAATTCCTTTCTGGCCCATTTGGTAAGCCTCTTGGACCGGCTTTGGGCTCTCGGTGGGCCGTGTCGGGGTGAGCACGAGCAGTCCATGAAGCCATCTTGGACCTCCTGCAGGGCCACGCGGGGCGTATCTCGCGAGAACAAGGAGAAAGGCGGGCGGTGAACGCGAAGCGTCACGGATAAATCAGCAGGCAGGGGCTGGACGGATGGCGGACCGTCTCCTCGTCCTCGCCGTCCGAGGAAGAGTCATCCGCCTGGGCGTCGTTGGGGTCCTCCGATATCTAAGACGGACATGTGAGGAGGCACTACCGTGTTCTCCTCCTTCTCGTCCTTCCTCCCAACCATCATCATCCACCTCCTCCGCATCGTCCGTCTCCTTCGCGCTTCCAGCATGGTCAGCTGTGCAAGACCGTATCGGGAAAAGACCTGGCGCTTCCTTCCCTCCCTCCCTATCCCCCCTCCCTCTCCTTCCCCCCTTCCCGTCCATGCGCTCTACCGATTGCGGGCTCTCGCTGGCGTTCTCTACCCAGCGCTCTACCGATTGCTGGCTGCTCTTGGACTTCTCCCCAGCTTCCTCCCGGTGCGAAACTGTACGAACCAGACCGTGGGAACAAGTTCATCAGATGTGGTTCTAGCCCCCTGGTAACTCCCTGCTAACAGGTAGGCAAGATGCTTCCACCCAGTTGTTGCGCGCCCCTGGATGTTAGAGTGGACAGTGCTGGCTCTCTGGGCTGCCAGTGGTCCACAGATCACGGATCCTCAGCCCTTCTTGCCAGTCCTTGCAGTTCCTGGGGTGCCCACATGGCTATGTACCCCTCCCCGTGTTCCCAGCCTTGTTGTCTTGGAGCGGGCAAAATGATGGAACCTCCAGCTGTCTCAGCATGCCACACGATAAGAACAGATGCTGCACCCGTGGGGCCGTAAGGGCAAACATTGAGTGAACAGCCCTCGGGGCAAACATTCGGTAAACGGCCCCTGTGCTACGCCTGTCACCCCCTCACTGAGGAAGGAGAGGCGGGAGAAGGAGGGAACACGAGGCTTGGTCCCAAAGTCCCAACTCTGGCGGATATCTGAGTGTCAAAGCCTCCGGTGTCTCCATGGAGAAAGACGCTGGCGCTTGAAACACTTCCTCCTCCACCGAAAACACCAAAGCGACGAGGTGTTCACCCGCCAGCCCTGCCTGCACATCATCACAGCGACGCGATGCTGCACCGCAGACCTTGAACGACTCGAGAAAAGTATGGCGAAATTTGTCCACTGGTTTCTGCCGCCTGGCGCCGTTGTGTCAGCCCCCCGGGCCATCAAGAAACAGTCCGAGACGAAGAAGAGGAGGTCCCAAGAAAGGGGTCGAGAGCTCTAGGGCCACCATGATGACAAAATCGCGACATTGGAAGTCTGGGCCCATGCCTCTGTTCCCGTCCCCGTCCGGGTTGAGCGCCGACATCTCGGAGAACACCTGCACAGCAACTTGAAAGCACATCTGGATAAGGCACGGGGAAGCGAGGCGCAACAAAGCGCATCGACACCCGCACCACCGAAGAATGCGAAGCAGCACACCTCACTCGGAGGAGCGAGGGGTGACGAGGAGGAAGGCGAGGAGGAGGAGCACGAGCTCGGTCCCAACCGAACAGCCTCGGGCCAGGGGCCGACGCTGTCTCCCTGGACCCCTTGTCCCCCAGCTCCCCTCCCCTTTCCCTCCCGCCGTCAACCAATCCATGAGCCTCGCCCCGTCAGCGCCCCCCCTCCACGTCGCAGCTGCTTCCCCCCATGCCCTTCTGGAGGAGGCAGGGGAGGCAGAGGAGGAGGGAGGAGGGAGGAGGGAGGAGGGAGGAGGATGAGGGAGGAGGGAGGAGGAGGAGGAGGAGGAGGAGGAGGAGGAGGAGGAGGAGGAGGAGGAGGAGGAGGAGGAGGAGGAGGAGGAGGAGGAGGAGGAGGAGGAGGAGGAGGAGGGAGGAGGAGTCAGCTTTTGGCGGAGGGACGCGGGGCCGCTCCGGCTGCAGGGCCCGAGCAGGCCCAAACGGATCGCGCCGACTGCGCACCGGGTACCGCTCGAGATCTGGGTCGCTTCTTTGCGCCGCCCTCTCCATCCGTGCCGGCGGGGGGCCAGGAAAGAGCAGCGGAGTCCACGCGCGGACGCGCCTCTGTACTGGACAGCAATGTGCTAGAGAGCCGCTCGAGGGGGGGAAGGCAAGCGAGGGGACGGGGAAGTGGGGGGAGGGGAGGGGACGGAGCGAGAAGAGGAGGATGCCGACAGCGAGGGTGGGGAGGGGGGCGAGGGGGGGGAGTGAGGGTCGAGGTGTGAAGGGGAAGGGGGGTGCGCGGGAGGACGAGGCGAGGGCGAAGGGAGGGGGGCAAGCTGAGGGGACGAGAGCACGCGTGGATGGGAAGAGTTGGTTGGGTTGACTGCTCCGCCCCCGACGCCTGCCACGCCCCACTGCCCGCGTGCCTCCGTGGGGAGAGCGGCGCAGGCCGGCTGCGAGAGGGGCCGAGGAAACCGCGTGTGAGCGACGAGAAGAAACGGGTCTCACGCGAGATGGCACAGCGACCTTACGCGGTGGCTGACGCGGGCCGCCAGCGCGGCACGCCACGCTCGAAGCGAAGGCGCCTGCGCGCGACCCTACGCGGGAAGCTTACGCGCGAATGCCGGCGCGGCCGAACCGTACCCCAGACGCCGGCTGGGGTCTGAATTTGAAGGATGTATGCAGCCAGGTGAACCCCAGCAGGGGTGTCCGACCACCCAGCGTCGATTGGACCCGCAGGGGTAGGTTTCGCAACGGGTCGCAGAGGGGTGAGGCTCGGAGGGGGCGGGGCTGGCAGAGGCGGGGTCCAGCGGACGTCCGATGGCGGGCGCAGGCGATGCACTGAGAGGGTGCGCGAACAGGACGAGGCAAAGACGAACACTCAAACTCAGGCAGGGGCCTCGCACGGACGATTGCGCATCGCCAGGGTCTCGCAAGTTTGCCACGGGTGCCAGCGCATGCGCGGCCCTGGTGTGGGGTCGGAGAACAGCTCGAGAGCCAGGGACTGCGGCTGGGTGTCTTGCGAGCAGTTCCGTGAAACAAGATAGTCGACTTCAGAAAACCTGAGTCCAAAAATCTGGACCTCTCACTTCTGCTTCCGCCGCGTTCCGCCAGCTTTCCGTGGGCTTCAGCAGGCAGTGCTGGCACCGCGTTATTTCCGCCAGCCTTCGTCACCTTCCGCCGAGGGCGAGGGCCTCTCTGAAGCACCCCACATGGATAAAACTCTCGGTCAACGGCACCTGTCCGACCACGGCAGCACAGACGGCGGCACCAGATGCCCTGCTCTAGTCTCGACAACATACACGGGCATGTGCAACCAACAATCGTGAACACGGGGACCGAGGGGCGGGGAGGCACGCAAGCGAACAGGGAGACAGGAACAAAAGGAGGAGGGGCCTGGAGAGAAAGGACGGATGGGAGTGGATGAGTGATTGAAAAAAGAATCCGAAGGAAAGGCCTGGAAGACGGTCTGCAAATGGGCCGGATCGGATGGCACGAACCTGACCTCGGGGATCTCTGGCTCCTCCTCCTGCTGCGTGAGGCCGCGCGGGCGCAAGCGCAAACATAAAAAAATCACTCGAAGAGAATCGGGTTCGCTGTAGAGGGGGGGGCAACAGAAGTGTCAACGAACCATGGTCCGAGGCATGATCGTGGACGAGGGAGGGCCAGGGATCGTTTTCAAAAAAAGGGTCCAGGACCGAGGAGGGTCCAGGCTGACCGAACTGGTTTGTAGTCCATAACCATCAAGCAAGCAACGAAGAAGAAGAAGAAGAGGCCACGAAATCTGGGAAACATCGTGGCCCTGTGAATGATATCTGCACGCACACACACACGTTTTTGGCGGTCGCGACCTCGCGCACGGCAACGAGGCGAAGCAAGTCAAGTGCGGCGGCAGAAACCTAGGCAGGTGCCCGCGTGCGCGGGCTCGGGGGGGGTCAGCGCATTGCCATCCGCGCGTGGATGGCGGGGAGAAAGGGGGAGCGCACTGCCGCCGTCCAAGGGAACGTCCCACATGCAGGGCCCAGCGCGGACGGGGAGAAGCAAGGAATACAGCGACCGACCAAGACACCAGTCGATGTCTGCACGCACACACACACACACACACACACACACACACGTACACACTGTGGAAAGCAAAAGGTACCGCTATTACCACTCCCTGGACCTCTCCTGGGGGTGCGTTCTGACCAGAATTTCGAAGCGAATCCAGCGGTGGCGACGAGGGCCTCCCAGGAGGCCCAAAAACGGCAAAACGGGCGAGGGGCAGCGGTATGGGTACCTTGCCCTCCTCTGACAAACAGTCCTCAACCCCCTCCCTGCACGCCCCCGAGAATCACCACCTACCAAACCACCCCAACCCGACCCGAAGGCCGCAGGCCCCAATCTGCTCTCCATTCCCAGCGGGGGGGTATCGTGGAACATCGGGAAAACACAATTGGCGGTGGACAAACCTCCCTTTGGTAGATCTCCCCTTAGTGAAAACGGCCTGGGACCGAAACCGACAGACCTGGACCCGCAAAAATGACGGCCGCGACGCCATCTCGCGAACCGAAAACGGCCAATTCCTTAATCGACGTGTCAGGGTAAGGGTAGGAGGTCCGTCCACCCCCGATGAAACACTTCATCATCCGACCCGAAATTGGGGACTTCGGGTGGGGTTGGGGTGGCCTGGTAGGTATAGTGGGGAGAAGGTACACGAGAAACCTTCCACGAGATACCCAGCCCCGAGACCCCAGGACGTCCATGGATTATTGGTGTGGGAGCGTCACGTTTTCCATAGCAGGACCCTCGAAACCCAAGAGACCCGGGGCACCCTGGAGGCGAGCAGGGCGTCTCCTGGCATGGGCCTCCACTGCAGTCCGAGCAGGAACGCCGGAGAGCACACCGGCGAGCGCCCGGCTCGGGAGCCTGCAGGCACAACGGCACGGCACCGAGCGGCACCGCGGCCCGGCACGGCCTGGCGGGCCACGGCCTGCTCCGCTCGGGGCCCGTGCGGAGGGATCACGAGTCGGGGGAAGAAACGGATGGGCTAGCAGAGGGCAGGGCAGAGGATCAGCTCACGCAGCTGGTCTTCCTGGCGCCTGCTGGGGCTAGGAGGCGCCCATGTACCGAGAAATGGGCCCGGCGGCTGGGCCGAAACCAGCTGCACGCAGCAGATCTCGTAGCCCCCTTGCCCTATCCTGCCACTTGTGGCGTCCAAAATCCGGATAGCGGAGCAATCCAAAGTGCGCGAGAGCTTGCCGGAGAAGCTTGCAAGAACGCTTGCAAGGATGTCTGGTGAACTTGCAAGCTCGAGGAAGAAGCGTCGCAGGAGCTCAGGAAGCGCTGCGAAAAAGCTGCACAAAGGCATCCGGCACGCGCAATGGGAATGAGTAGGGAAACGGTTCCGGGACACGCTGCAAGCTGAAGTCGAAAGGGTACGGACAAAAAACTATACTACGAGGGCGGGGCCCATGCACCGTGCCATGCTTGGACTCCCCTCAGGCCTCGCTCAAACACGGTACGGTGCACAGTTGTTCGGCTCCGAGGGCCGAAAAACTATGCACCGTCGGCGTCGGCGTCGGTGTCGGCGTCGGCGTCTGCGCCGTCGTCGTCCTCGTTGTCGGCGTCGGTGTCGGCATCGGCGTCGGCGTCGTCGTCGTCGTCGGCGTCGGCGTCGGCGTCGGCGTCGTCGTCTGCGTGGTCGTCCATCGTCGTCGTCGCCGTCGTCGTCCTCGCCGTCGTCGTCCTCGTCGTCGTCCTCCTCCTCCTCCCCGTCGTCGTCGTGGGCTGTGAGCCTTCGACTGAAGATAGTATGAGACGGAAGCCGCGCAGCAGCGTCGTCGTCGTCGATGTCGTCGTCGTCGTCGTTGTCGTCGCCGCCCCCCCATCCCATCCCATTCCAGCCCATCTGGAATGGCTGTGGAGACCTGGGGCCCATCCCATCTGGGGGGGGGGCTGTGAACCCTCGACTCGGATCATATGAGACGGAAGCCGCGCAGTGGCGCACGAAACCGTGCAATTCCACGCGCAGGCACACGCGCAGACATGCTCACAGGCACACGCGCGCTTAAGTGCGCGGGCACGTACCTCCGCATGCACAAGGATCCGTACTAAGCAAGAAACTACCTTCAACATAGAAGTGAGCATACGCTCGACCACCTGTGAGCACGCACCTCTGGTTGCATACGCTTGCTAACAATGACACGCCCAAGTTGCAGCCACGACGACAGACCCACAGGGAGCTCGTGCCACTGGCAAACGAGCAGGGATCGATTCGGCTTCGTCTTCTGGCCCCTGCCCCGAACCATTCTGGAATCATACTGGGCCGCATGGGACGGCTGAGAATTTCAAAGGGTGCGAGCTCGTCAGCCGCACTCCGCTCCATCACGTGCTGCAATCCCACCGGCCCTCTGAGCGTACACCCTGCGAAATGCTTAAGAAATCATGGGTTAAGAAATTCAGAGTCTCAGAACTTGAATAAAAACCCAAAATTTCCATTCAAACCTTAGGATTTACCTTGAAACATTAAGAATAATCGGGACTCTGGCCGAAAATTTAAGCTTTCTTAAGCATCGCCTAAGGTGTACAGTTGGACCTAGGCCAGAAGAACACCCCTCAAGCACATGAGGCCCTCCGTCGGCCATCCAACAAACAGGACATCCACGGGCACCCTCCCCAGGAGGCACATGAACATCCAACAAACACGAAGAACACTAGGGCACCCTCCCCGAACCGACCTCGATCGTATGCCTCGGTCCGACTGTAGGTGACTTTGGGCGTCAGCTCTGCCAGCACGATCCGGTCTTCACCTCATTCTTCCCCCATAACCACATGTCCAGTGGTATCGACGCGGGGGCCGAGAGGCGCTTGAGCGTCCAAGGTGGCCACGGACGGCTTCAAGATGGCCCCAGACCAAGACGGTTTGTCAACATGCTTCAAGACTCCCCAAGAAGGGCCCAAGATGGCTCGAAGTGGCCCCCGAGTCACCCAGGAATGATGCTCCCGGACAACCAAGACCAATGGAAAACTCTATATCTATATGTATATATATATATATATATATGATATATATGTATATGTATGTATATATCATATATATAATACATGGATTGCTCTGTCCTCCGAAACATCAACATGTTCCCGAGATGGCCAAATATCGAGCTGAAAGGGGCCCTGGAAGGCCGCAAAACACCCCACGAGCCCTCAGGAGCACAACAAGAAAGTTCCAAGAGGCCCCCAAGAGGCAAGTTCACCAGCTTCACAAGGGGCGCGTTGAAAAGGCCCCCTTTTGTTGGCCGATGGCCGAAAGAGAGCCCAGTAGGCTGCCAAAAAATGCACAGAGCCCCGAGAGGACCACGAAGGCCACCGAGCAAGGCCTAAGGGAGCCCAAAAATGAACCAATGGGGCCTTCAAGAGGCTCCCAGAAGGGCCCCAGGTGAACATTTCTCAGGGCTGCCGAGTCTGATCCTGCATGCGGCTTGACCGTTCACCTCTCTGCGTCACTGACTCTCCTGCGAGCCCCTTCTCACGACAGGCCCGCCAAAAGAATCGTTGCGAGTAGACTGTTGAGGACTCGCGAGGCAGCAAGAACCGCCAGCATTGACACGAGGCGGCCATCCAGAGATTACGTGCCAACAGGAGACGCGACGTCGCTCGAATTCGATCCTCTTCATCATACAAGAGAAGCTTGCGGCGAAGCATCGTCAATGCGGTCCTCCTCCCCTTCAACTTCCTCACACCTCAGCTGGCAGTAGAGGCACGGATCTGGCCAAGCAGCCTCGGGGAGTCGCGATCAACGCTCAAATCATCATGCAAGCGGATGTCCAGCCGCACCCTTTTTGCAAATGAGCCGTCATCGCCCATCCCTCATCCCTCATCCCCGTGTTCCGTACAACAAAAAGATACTCGACCAATGGCCTGCAAAGAGCAGCGCGTACCAAACAGAAATATGACAGACGAGCTTGGACATCGAGATCCGAAGGCCCCCTTGGAGGCGCCCGGTCGTGATCAAGACTCTCGTGGTTTTCCCACATTGCCACTTCCCTAATGTCTACTGGGGGGCCCCGTGGCGCCAAAGCTCGCAGGGGGCCGTTACCCATCATTCGGACAAACAGTTGGCGGAAGCTTGGAAGTACGAGGGAACACTGAAAGCAGGTGGGGCTTCCGCCCGCCCCTTGAAAGAGGAGAGGAAAGGGAAAGAAACGCTCGACTCTTGAAACGGGCAGGCACCCAAGCCAGACTGGAACCTGGGAATCCCCCAGACACACGCCTTCAGCGAGCGGTGCGCAGAGCCTCCTGGCCGCTCCGGGCTGCCCCGAGGGGGCCCCCGGCGCCGGAGCTCACACTGGAATGAGGCGCCCACTTCCCCTCCCGTCGGCTCTCGGCTGCCCTGCATGGGTCACCGCTGGGGTGGCTCGGGGGACAAAGGGGGGCTCGAAGTGGATGCAAGACTGTTACGTATGGCCTGACCTGGTCTAGACGGCCGCGTTCCACCAAGCGCAAGGTGGCTACTCGCAAATGGCCTGGACCCGCCGCGGGGGATCTACGATATTTCACGTCGAGGCGAACGTGTGATTTTCGGGCGTTGGCGAGTAGGCACTTTGCGAGTGGTGGAACGCGCTCGGGGATAGTCTACGAGTGGGCTGCAAAAGTCCTGCGTCTTTCCGGGGGGCAGAGATCTGGGCTGGGTTGGCGGAGACCACTGAGCAGAGCTACCTGACCCCTTTCACTCACTTAGGGCATGTGTAAACCATGTACAAGCCAGGTTAAACCAAATATTTGCATCTGCATATGACCCCCTTTGTCCTCTTAGCAACCTTAGCCGACATCCAAGCAGGGTCTTTACGACGGTTGGCCGTTCCCCGTCACAGTCGCGCTGGTGATTCTTCGTGTGGTTAGCACGTGGCCGTCACAAGTCGTCTGCTGGGTTGAACAACCCGCTCGCCCAACGACGGGGCAAGCTTCCATCCGTTCCCATAAACCTCACAGTTTGCTCCCCAACCATCCCGCGTTGGGTTGAGCCCTCGTTTTGAGAAGGAAGCGCCCCGCATCTCCTTCGTCCATTCCTCTTCTCCCTCCCCCCCTCCGTCCTCCCATCACATCAATGCCTCTGCCCTCCGCAGCAGTCAACCATTACGGCACACCCCTCGCACGGTTGGTGGCCCCATAAGGAACTCCACCAAACGCCCCAGTGGCAGGGTTCACACGCGGCTCCCCGCCCACCGCATGTCCACGTCAGCACACCCCTCACACGCTTCGTGGCCCTATAGAGAGCTCCACCCAACGCCCCAGTGGCAGGGTCCACACGCGGCTCCCCGCCCACCGCGTGTCCATTTCGGCACACCCCTCAAACGCTTTGTGGCCGAAGCCAAGAAGTCTCCCCGCTCACCCATGTCCGCTCTTCCCCCCGTCCACACCGCAGACCTCCTGCTGTCATCATCCTTCAGATCGCCTGCGCCGCGATACTCGCAAGTGCAGATGGTTGGGTCCTTGGCAAGGATAAGTTCTTTTCGACACGTTCGGTCGCCTGCGGCGGCTTCCCGAAGAAACACAACCAGACAGTGGGACCACACGAAGGTTTGACCGAGCATGCTGCGAATCGAAACGATTCGGAGACACTACAGCGCCGTATGTCTCGACAGAATAAGGATAGACGGATGCAGAGATGCGGACTCCCCCAGTGCGAACGTTGTGTTCCAATATCGCTACAATCTTCTAAGCACTAGCGAACCACGTGTTTCCACGAACACCATCGGAATGGAACACGACATGTACAAACATCAGCCCGAAGGACCCAACCATATGCAGCTGCGAATACCGCGAGTGATGTGCAGTCATGGCCCGAGGCCGCCATGCGGACCCTGCCACTGGAGCCTCCGGTGAAGCTCCCTATGGAGCCGCGAGGCGTGTGATTGGTGTGCCGAAATAGACCGAGGCCGCCACGAGGACCCTGCCACTGAAGCCTCTGGTGAAGCTCCCCATGGGGCCGCGAAGCGTGGGACGGGTGTGCCGAAATGGCCCGGGGCCGCCATGCGGACCACTCCCGCTGGCGGCCTTCGGTGGAGCTCCATATGGGGCCGCGAAGCGTGTGAAGAGTGTGTCGAGATGTCCCGAGGCCGCCATGCGGACCCTGCCACTGGGGCTTTCTGTGGAGCTCCACGTGGGGCCGTGAAGCGTGTGAGAGGTGTACCGAAATGGCTCGAGGCCGACATGCGGACCTCCCTGCCATTGGGGCCTTCGGTGGAGATCCATATGATGGGGCCGCGAAGCGTGTGAGGAATGTGCCGATATGGCCCGAGGCCGCCATGCGGACCCTGCCGCTGGGACCTTCGGTGGAGCTCCACGTGGGACCGCGAAACGTGTCAGAAGTGTGCCGAAACGACCCGCCTATTGGGGGCCTTCAGTGGAGGTCCCTATGGGGCCGCGAAGCGTGAGGGTTGTGCCGAAATAGACCGAGGCCGCCATGCGGACCCTGTCACTGGGGCTGTCGATGGAGCTCCATATGGGGCCGCGAAGCGTGTGAGGGGTGTGCCGAAGTGGCCCGAGGCCAATGCATGAGGGAGATGATGACGACATTGATCATGGCGATGGTGATGCTACTGATGATGACGGCGATGCGGTGAAGGGAGGAGGAGGAAGAGGAGGAGGGTAGCGAAGGGAGTGACGCGGGGCGCTGTCTCTTCAAAACGAGGACCCGACACCTCAGGATGGTTGGGTAGAAAGGCACTGCTGACACGAATTCCTCTGCAAAAATTGCCCCCACATCTATTCATAATGTGAACGGCACGAAACCCAAATCTCCGGCCGCACTGTAGTCATGCCATTGCCACATGATGGAGCCCCCTCCTCCACCACCTCCTCCTGCTGTAGGTTTCTTCTTATCCTCCTCCTCCTCCTCCTCCTCCTCCTCCTCCTCCTCCTCCTCCTCCTGCTCCTCCTCCTCCTCCTCCTCCTCCTCCTCATCCTCCTTCTCCTCCCACTCCCCCTCATTGCTGGAATCTCATTCGATCCCCCTCTCTCTCGCGTTTCCCCCTCTCCTTCCTCCCCTTGTCCACACCCTCATTGAAGGGGACCGTTAGTGGGGGACCAGCTCAGGGGGGGGAACATCGACCTGGAATCGGCGATACATCGCCGATAGTTCGGCGATAGACCTTCGATGGCGAAACCGCACGGTCCTGGCCGGAGTGGGATATCGGGCCCCTATCGACGATGAATGGGCGATTGAGTGTCGATGCATCCCCCTGAGCCTATCCTTAACATTGCCCCTGACTCCAGTTTCCCCGTCATCTCCTTCCTCCTACGGTTCACACCCTCACCTCGGCGGAGAGCCCAGGGGGGAAGTGACGAGAGGCGGGCCTTCCCGGAAGGCTCGGAAGTCCACCAGACTTCTGAAAAGTCTTCTTCTAGGCCTCCCCAGAGGACACGGAAAACATCTGAGAGGGCGCGAGGGCTTCCGAGAAGCCCCGCCGGCCTTCTCCTCCTCGCTTCCCCGCATCGCCCGCCGCCGGTCCGCTCCCCCTCCGAGGCCTTGTCCCGCGAGATGGCGTGGAGGGTGACGAACGGGTAGTCCATCGCGTACCCGCTGGTGGCGCCTCTCGGCGGCCCGAGGGCGCTCCCGAGTCGGAGGCAAACTTGAATCAAGGTCGGAGCGGCCTCCTGACTTGTGGCGGGCGACGGCGCGGCAGAAACGGACCCGAGGCGTACCCGAGACCTTCTCCGCGCGAGGCGACTATGTGTAGAAACGTCCCACACCGTATGTTTTACAAGAAAACAAGCAAAAAAAAAAAAACACTAACAGACAAACAGACAAACAGACAAAGAGACAAAGAGACAAACAGAACAAAAACGCCAGATATGCACGATCCGCGCTGCCCTCATCTCCGCCGTGCCTCCCAGGAGCCCACCAAAGTGGTGACAATTGCGCAGGTCGCAGCCTCCCAGGGGGCAGCGAGGTCCCATGTGGGTCCGCGTGGCCCCCGACTCCGCTGGACCTCCCAGGAGCCCACGAAAGTGGTGAGAATTGCTGCCCAGTTCGCAGCCACCCAGGGAGCTGCGAGGTCTGTGATGGGTACGCGTGGCCCCCGACTCCTGTGGACCTCCCAGGAGCCCACGAAAGCAACCGCAGTTGCGCAATTCGCAGCAACTCAGGGAGCAGCGACGTCTCGTTTTGGTGCGCGCGCCTCCCGACTCCGCTTGACCTCCCAGGAGCCCACGCGACTGGTGACAATTACGCAGTCCGCAGCCACCCAGGGAGGAGTGGCGAAGTCTTTCATGGGTGCGCGTGGCCACCGACTCCTCGGGACCTCCCAGGAGCCTAAGAAAGTGGCGATAGCTGCGCAGTTCGCAGCCCTCCAGATAGCTGCCAGGTCTCGGGTGGGTGCGCGTATTCCCCGCTCCGCTGGGCCTCCCAGGAGCCTACGGAACTGGCGACAATTGCGCAGTTCGCAGCCACCCAGGGAACTGCGAGGTCTCGGCTGGGTCCGCGTATTCCCCTACACCGCCGTGCCCCCCAAAGACCACGAAAGTGGCGACAATTGGGTAATTCATAGTCCCCCAGGGAGCCGCGACTTCTCGGCTGGATGCGCGTACTCTCCTGCTCCGCCGTGCCTCCAAGAAGCCCGCGAAAGTGGTGAAAATTGCACGGTCAGCCTCCCAGGGAGCTGCGAGGTCCCGGCTGGGTCCACGTACTCCCCTAGTCCGCTGGGCCCCACAGGAGCCCACGAAAGCGGCGACGGTTGCGCAGTTTGCAGCCACCTAGGGCGCCGCGAGGTCTCGGCTGGGTGCGCGTACTCCAATACCCCGCCGTGCCTCCCAAGAGCTGACGAAAGTGGCGGCAGTCGCGCAAATTCGCAATCCTCGAGGGAGCCGCGAGGTCTCGAGTGGGTGCGCGTACTCTCCTGCTCTGCCGTGCCTCCAAGAAGCCCACGAAAGTGGAGACCATTGCGGAGTTCGCAGCCTCCAAGGAGCTGCGAGGTTTCGACTGGGCCCGCGTACTCCCCTACTCCGCCGTGCCTACAAGGACCCCGCGAAAGTGGCGACGGTTGCGCAGTTCGCAGCCACCTAGGGAGCAGCGAGCGCGTACTCCAATACCCCGCCGTGCCTCCCAAAATCCTCACGACAGTGGCGACAGTTGCGCAGTTCGCAATCCCCCTGGGTGCCGCGGATCGCGGGAGGGTGCGCGTACTGCCCTACTCAGCCATGCCCCCAAGAAACCTACGAAAGTGGTGACCACTGCGGAGTCCGCAGCCTCCAGGTAGCTGCGAAGTTTCTGCTGGGTCCGCGTACTCCCCTACCCCCCCGTGCCTCCCAGGAGCCCATGGAAGTGGCGACAGTTGCGCAGATCGCAGCCACCCAGGGAGCAGCGCGAGCGAAGGCAGGAAGAGAGTGGAAGCAAGAGGAGAAGAGAGGAAGATGAGGGGGAAAGAAACAAGAATCGAGACCACGGGAACCCAACCCAGGAGGGTTGGGAATATCCGCCAGCCCCCTTGTGGGGCCACCAGGCTGTAGGCCGAAGGTTCGCATTTTCCTGCACCAGTTGCAGCTTCCAGTCTCCACTGTTACAGTTCTGCTGATTGCTGCATAGTGTTCCTTGTTGATGGACCGCGCGAGGCCCAAACGGGCAGGTTTAGCACGCCCTGAGCGTGTGTTCTGAATTGCTGGGGTGGGTAAACATGGTCGACCCACGAACCCGGAAAGGAATGTAGAAATGTGAGACATGGCGCGACGGGCAAATGCAATGCTGAGTGTATCGATCTTGATGTACTGTGCCGAGGGCTGTGCTGTGCAGCGCTGTGCTAAATTGCGATGCGCCATGCCACGATTGTGCTCTATAGCGTTGTGGATCGAGTCCTCCTTTGCATCCGAATCCTGACCGAACTGCTCTGGATCTTAAGCTCGAGGTGCCTGCCTGAGCACATCAATAGTAGCTGCCCCAGAGCTGATTGACAGGGGAACATGCCAGGAGGACGCGCCGCGGAACGTCCCAAAGGACGTGCCATGGGGACGCACCGCGGGACGTGCAAAGAGGACGCGCTACGGAACGTGCCCATGGACGTGCCACAGGACGTGTCAGGGGACGCGCCGCGCGACGTGCCAAGGGGGACTCGCCACGGGACACGCCACGGAACGTGCCAAAGAACGTGCCAAATTTCAATGCTGAATGTATTCGGTGTTGATGTACCGTGCCGAGGGCTGTGCTGTGCTGCGCCGTGCTGAACTGCGGTGTGGCATGCCGCGAGCGTGCTTTGTAGTATTGTGGATCGAGTCCTCCTTTTGCATCCGAGTCCTGACCGAACTGGCCAGCAGCATCTTAAGCTCGAGCTGCCCTAGTACATAGTAGCTGCCCCAGAGCTAATTGACAGGGGAACATGCCAGGAGGACGCGCCGCGGAACGTCCCAAGGGACACGCCAAGCGAGGTGCCAGGGGACGTGCTACGGGAACGCACCGCGGGACGTGCCAAGAGGACGCGCTGCGGAACGTGCCAACGCACGTGCCACGGGACGTGCCAGGGGACGCGCCGCGCGACGTGCCAGGGGGACTCGCCACGGGACGCGCCACGGAACGTGCCAAAGAACGTGCCAGGTTGCAGTGCTGAGTGCACCGATATTGATGTACCGTGCCGAAGGCAGTGCTGTGCTGCGCCGTGCTGAACTGCGATGTGCCACGTGACGATTGTGCTCTCTAGCGTTGTGGATCGAGTCCTCCTTGGCGTCCGAGTCCTAACCGAACTGATATGGATCTTAAGCTCGAGCTGCCTGAGCACATAGTAGCTGCCCAAGGACTAATTCATAGCGGGGCATGCTAGGAAGACGCGCCGCGGGAAGTTCCAACGGACGCGCCAGGCGACGTGCCAGGGGACGTGCCATGGGGACGCACCGCGGGACGTGCCAAGAGGACGCGCTACGGAACGTGCCAACGCACGTGCCACGGGACGTGCCAGGGGACGCGCCGCGCGACGTGCCAGGGGGACTCGCCACGGGACGCGCCACGGAACGTGCCAAGGAACGCGACAGATTGCAATGCTGAGTGAGTGTATCGATCGTGATGTACCGTGCCGAGGGCTGTGCTGCGCTGCGCCGCGCTGAACTGCGATGTGCCATGCCGCGATTGTGCTCTATAGCGTTGTGGATCGAGTCCTCTTTTGCATCCGAATCCTAGCCGAACTGATCTGGATCTGAAGCTCGAGCTGCCTGAGCACTTAGTCGGCATACTAGCTGACCCAGAGCATACTGACAAGGAAACATGCCAGGAAGACGCGCCGCAGAAGGTTCCAAGGGACGCGCCAGGCGACGCGCCAGGGGACGTGCCACGGGGACGCACCGCGGGACGCACCGCGGGACGCGCTACAGAACGTGCTGGGGACAAGCGTCGCGTTGGTGACCTGGACACGTAAAAACACGATGCCGGCTCGGGGCAACCAGGTTAGATACCCCCTGGGTGGCCTGGACACGTAAAAACACGTGGTTCCAGCTCGGAACACTCACGTTAGAGATCTCTGGGTGGCCTGAGCATGAAAAATCCGCCGACCCCTTGGGGTTCATCGGCGCGCGAGACGCTTCCCCCTCTCGAAACCCCTCCCCCGGGAGCCAAGCCCGGAAGATTTGGAGGGGGGGGGTCCGGCCGGATCCGCCGGGGGGTCATCCGCTCCAAGAAATCCTGCAGGGACTCCTCCGTGGCCTCGAAATTCTCCCAAGACGCCACTCGACGGCCCAAAATGACCTCCACGTGGATTTTGGCGCCCCCAAGATGCCCCGAGACGGGCTCAAGACAGCCCACGATGCCTCCAAGATGCTCCAAGAGGCCTCGAAGAGGCACCCCAAGAAGGCCTCGAAGAAGCCCGAATCATCAATTTCCCATTGGAAAACTACATTTTTAGCACGCACTACTTCTCGGCCTCCACGGCGGCGAAGCCAGTCCAAGAGGCCCCCAAGGCCGCCCCGACACGTCCGAAGAGGCTCCCAAGAAGCGCCCAAGACGGTCCAAGCGGGCGCCAAGACAGCCCAAGAGGCTCCCAAAACGGCCGGAAAGGGCCCCAAGACAACTCCCAGAGAGGCCCAAGCGGGGTAGCCCGCACCGAAAATCCGAGCCCTCCGCTCCCAGACGGCTCCAAGACACCCCCAGAGGCGCCCGAAAGGGCCCCAGAGGCCCCCAAGACGCCCCCAAAAAGCCCCCAAGAAGCCCACAAGAGGCCCCAAGAGTCCCCAAAACGGCCCTCAGGAGGCTTCGAGACTACCGTCAAGAGGCCTGCGACAAGTTTCCCCCAGGTGATCCAAGCGAACGCCGCCCAAGCCTCATACCCACAACCCAGGCCCAGCGGTCAGACTCCTCGCAACTTCCGTTCCTTGCCGCCGTGCTCGTCGCTTGTCTCCGCAGGGCGTTTCGGCGGCTCTCTCCGCAGCGCCCGTCCCGCCTTATAGCACTTCGCGCACACCACCGGATTGCCCCGCTTGAAAAAAAAGATTCGATTCTTCTGGTCCTTCGACAGATGGTCCCCGTCTGCGAACGCGGGTTTCGACCCGTCCTTTTTCGGGGGACACGCAGAGCAGTCAAACTTATTCGCCACCCTGCGCGCATCGTGGCACGCCCGGCACG